TTGATGTTTGTCTTGTGCCCCAGTATGTGATCGATCCTGGAGAATGATCCATGTGCGCTTGAGAAAAATGTGGTACTCCGTTTTTTTGGGTTTAGTGTTCTATAGATGTCTGTTAAGCCAAATGCTCTTAGGTCCTTTATTTAGAGCTTTAGTTTTTTTACTTATTTGTTTGTCTTGTTGATCTATCCATTGTTGATAGCGGTTTTGTGTTGAAGTCTCCCACTACGTATGTGTTTTCTCTGATGTCTGTTTTCAGAGAGGACAACAGTTGTCTGATATATTTTGGTGCTCTTTCGTTTGGTGAGTATTATGTTATGAGTGTATTTCTTCTTGAAGTATTGTCCCCTTAATCATAATGTAGTGACCATTGGGGTCTCTTTTTATTTTTTTGAGTTTGAAGTCTTTTTTATCTGATTAAGTATAGCTGTTCCTGCTTTCTTTTTTGGCCCATTTGCTTGTAGGATTGTTTTCCATCCTTTGACTTTGAGCCTATTTTTATCTTTTGTAGCTAAATGTGTTTCCTGGAGACAGCAAAAGGTTGGGTTTTGTTTCTTAATCCAGGCTGCAACTCTGTGTCTTTTTATTGAAGAGTTAGTCCATTTACATTTAGAGTTAATATTGATATGTTAGCATCTGTATTTGCCATTATGTTTTTCTTTCCTTTGGTTTTATTTATTTATTCTTTTAATAACCTTTTTTTTTTTTTGGTCTTCTTTCGTTGTTATTCGTCCCTCTGAGGTTCTGGCTTTAGGATTCCTTGTAGTATTTTTTGGAGTGGGGGTTTAGTCGCAATGAAATTCCGGAGTTTCTCTTTGTCTGGGAAGGTCCATATTCTTTCTTCATGGAGGAAAGAGAGCTTTGCGGGATAGAGTATTCTTGTTTGGCATCTTTTCTTGGAGTCTGTTGACTATGTCCCTCCACTCTCTCCTTGCCCGTAGTGTTTCTTCAGAGAAGTCTGATGTCAGCCTGATTGGTTTTCCTTTGAATGTTATCTGTTTCTTCCCTCTTGTCAGCTTCATTATTTTTTCCTTGTCTGGATTCTTGGAGCTTTACTATTATTGTCTTTGCTGTGTTTTTCCTTTCGTCGTGGAAGTTTGGTGTTTTTTCTTGCTTCTTGTATATCAATTTTCAGCTCCTTCTTCTCATTTGGGAAGTTCTCTTCAATTATATCCATGAATATTTTCTCTGTTCCTACATCTCTCTCCTCTCCTTCTGGAATTCCTATAACTCTTATATTTCCTTTCCTCATGGAGTCAGATAGTTCCCGAAGTCTTTCTTCATTCTTTTTCCTTCGTACTTCTCTTTCCTTTTCTGTTTTGGTTCTTTTTATTTCTGTGTCTTCAAGATTACTTATTCGTTCTTCCATTTCATCTATTCTGCTTTCATTGCTTTTCCAGAGTTCTTTAGTTCCTCCATTAATTTCTTTGTGATCTCCTGCATTTCTCTTACTTCCCTCTTTAGGGACTCAATTTCCTTCTTCTGATCTATCACTTTTTAATCATGGCAATTTTTAAATTCTCTTTCTGGAAGGCTCCAGAAGTTCTTCCAAGTTGCTGTCGTTGCAATCTGGAGGTGGTTTTCTTTTTGTGGTGTGCTTCTTTCCTGAGGAGTTTTTAGGTTGCGTGTGGTTCTTCTACTCCCTACTGTCTGTTTTCTAATTTGTCTTATGCGTTGGGACACTGTGTTGCTCGGACTGACTGACATCTTGGGTGAACTTCTCCGCTCCCCTCTGGCTCTTCTAGGAGCCATCTCTGTCTTCTGGGGGAGCTTTCTGCTGGTTTTAGGCAGTTTTTACTGAAGAAATGTCCCTGTTCTCAAATGGCGAAGCGGGATGCAGTCCCTGCGCCTCCGGTTTCAGGCACACTCTTTCTGCGCACCCGGTCTGCCCGGACGTGGGTGCCCTCCTCCCTCTGTGGGCTCAGACTGCTGGTCGGAAGGGGCCTGGCGTGGAATAACTTCCCGGCTGGCCACTGGGTCCTCCAGAAACCTTCTGCCTTTTCAAGCAGTCTTAAGAAATGTCCTGTTTTAAGGGTGTTAGTGACTTTTTTTTTTTCCTGGTCGCTAGGTGGCGCCAGAGATCTCTCCTATTGTCCTTGGGGGGCTGTTTTTCGCCTCCCCCCACCCCGTGGGACAGAGAACAGAGCGGGAATGGTAGGGTACACCTCAACAGCTTTGGGGTGCTGTGTCTGCCTTGTGCCCCACCGTCGTGGAGAACCCACGCCCCGAATTTTCGTGCCCCGGGTCTCAGTTCAAAGCCCTCAGTTCCAGGACGCGGGCTGTAGCCCAGTTCAGTGGCGCGGGAATGGCGCCTTTTGCACAGCTCCCGTGCCTGGGCGCCTGGTTCCTGCTCACTCAGGGAGGGACCTTCACCTCAGTGAGGACCTCCGTGCGTCTCCCCGCAAGCCTAGGTCGTCTCCCCGCAAGCCTAGGTCGCAGGCGCGGGGACCTGGGCAGCCGCGATCCAGGTCTGCACTTGCTTTTCAAGCTCCCCGAGCGGCACGCGTTTCCGCGCCAGGCTTTTACCGGCAGCCCGGGCTGTGTGCGCGTCTCCCGGGGTCTTTGTTCTTCTCTAATGGCGCCCCGGAGCCGTTCGCCTCACCGCTGCGGCGGATCCTGCAGGGTTCCAGCTCCCGTTCACGGGGTGTGGTGGCTGCAATAGTTCCTTTCCACTCACGGTCCCGCTTGCTGCGTCGTTTGTTCTTGTTGGTTGTTTTGGTTTGTTGTTTCCTCCTCTCTGCCGGTCGGAGAGTGCCGCCTCTGTGGGCGGGGGAGGGGAGCAGGTTTCTGCGCTTCCCTCCCTTCTAGTCCTCTTTTATGGCCACTTTCTTCTTCGGGCAGTTTGCTGGCGTCACCCGTTTATCTTCCGTGTCCCACTTCTCACTGGGACCTGCCGCTTTTCCTCCCTATTCACTTTTTTTAATTTATTGGATTTTTCTATTTGGCATTTATAAATATAAAAATGAAAATGTTCTATAGTTATGGAGCAAATAAGATTGCTTACCTTTCAATAAAATGATGAGTTTTAAAAAATTTCATAAAGCAGGCCTCCCTGGTGGCACAGCGGTTGAGCACTGGGTTGTGAAGCTGCCCGCAGCCTCTGCAGCACCGGTTCGATCCCCGGCCGCCTGGCGAGGGTCCCACATTGCGCGCAGACCTCTCCTGCTGCCTGCTGCTCCCCTCAGCAGTGTACTTCGTCACTCTGCCTGTTCTACTCTCCGCTCTGGCTCTGGTGAATTCTCTCACCCTCCCGTGTCTCTGACTGTACCCAGTGCTTGTATAAATAAATAAATAAATCTTTAAAAAAAAAATTCATAAAGCACAAGTACTGCATTTTTGTCAGTGCACATGGGAGAAGAACCAGAAATAATGGTAAGCTAGAGCCTCTTAGAAATGTATTGAAATCCAGAATTAGCATTTATAAAAGAATATAGTTCACATACATGCTTGAGAGCTGATGAGCTCTTACTTATGTTCAGAGTATGTTGGCCATTCCAGGGATACATACTTTCAAAGCTAGGAAAATATGGAATAAAAATTTGAGATTGGCCATGTTTGAATTCTTGCTAAAATTCACCATGAGGTATTTTGTTTTGTTGTTACTCCTTTGTTCTCAATTCTGCAAAATTTGTAAAATAACTTTAATTTTAATTTGTTAAAAAGAGAGGTTGAAAGGGGTGGGTGGAGTAGTTTAGAATGATATATTACAGTTTGAATCTGTTTGTTGTCTTTTAAGAAATCACAAGCCAATGCTATGAATGTATATAAACCTAAATACATAGAAGAATGTTGGAAAGACACCAAAATGATCTCATTGGTAACATCTGAAAAGAATGCGCATAGGGCATTACTCACAGATCTTTGGCAAATAGATAAAAGCAAAAACATAAAAGCTCAAAACACAAAATCAGCGAGACAAAAAATTTTTTACCAAAAAAGTGGAACATACCAAAACCATAGAAACATGTTTAAAGAATATGAAAATTTTAAGTCTTAAATATCAACATATTTAATATATTTGAATGTAATAAATTGTAGAAATAATTTTATGTAATGTCCTTCATTCTTTATTATTGAAAATGATTTGTAGCACAATCTAAATTGTGTCTTTTACTAATGAAAATATTGATCCTTTCAAATTATCAACAATAATATAAGCTAATATTACCTCAATAAAGAAAGGGTAAAATATTATAAAAAAAGGAAAATATTGGTCTTAGAGAATAATAGAAAACTAAACAATAAGAAGAATCTTGTAAAGAGAGAACTGTTAAAAGTTTATTCTTCAAGCATCGTTATTATAGTTGTCTTCCCAATTCTTATTTTGTAAATAAAATTAAACTTTTATATTCAAAACCTTATTCTGGAGTGTGGTTTTTTTTTTAAGATTTGTTTTTATTTATTTATGCATACAAGAACTGGGGTGTAGGCCAGAAATGCGAGGGTGGGGCGGGTGAGAGGATTTACCAGAGACAGAGCCGGGAGCAGAACAGGTGGATCTACTGAAATATATTGCTAAGGGGAGCGGGCAAAGCAGGAGAGTTCTGCTGCATCACATATGGGTTAGTCCCCTGGCTGGGGACTGAACTCATGCCCCAGTGGGTGATAGTACAGAGACTTTAACCCCTGCACCACCAGGGAGGCCCTAGAGTGTTTTTTTTTTTTAAAGATTATTTCTTTATGCATACAAGAACCAGGGTAAAGGCAAGATATGTGGAAGGGTGAAAGGATTCACCAGAGACAGAGCGGGGAACAGAACAGGCAGACTGACTGAAATACACTGCTGAGGGGAGCAGCAGGTGAGACAGGAGAGGTCTGCTGCGCCATGTGGGTATCTCCACCACCGGCCGGGATCAAACCCGCACTGCAGAGGCTTCACACAGCTTCACAGCGCTATGCTAAACCTGCTGTGCCACCAGGGAGGCCCTAGAGTGTGTTCTTAACGTCTGTTTTTAAAAGGGTATTTCCATGTCTACTAAATTGAAATTTGTTTCATTTTGCAGGCCAACTGTACAGGAAGAAAGAAAAATCATAATAAAAAATGGCCGGCACCCTGTGATTGACGTGTTGCTGGGAGAACAGGATCAGTATGTTCCCAACAGTACAAATTTATCAGTAAGTACCTCATTATGCCAAAAAGTAAGATGATAGTATTCATTCTAAACTTTTAAATACCAAATAAAAATTTTTATAATTTGCCCACGTTTTAACTTTGTTAAAAGAATTAATCCCGGACTCAGAGTTGTATATTCACCATCGAATATGAACCGTGTCATTTCCAGTGAAAGATTATCCATAAGTGAAAAGATTTAGCAACTAAAGAATTAGTCTTAGTTATCAAAGGTAATTCAGAAAAGATATGTTTCATGTACAAATACCCAAGTACATTTATTTATTTATTTATATTTTACATCATTGTTCATTTTTAAACAATGTTTGCTTCCTCCCTTCCCCCTCAGGTATAGTCCCCATAGAATTTCCTTCACCAATGCACCCGTGCACCATCACCACAGTCCCCTGTACTCCTCTTTCCCTCCCTCTGATCTCTCTCCCTCCTCCTCCCCTGCAGGATGTCTCTGATTTATAATTGATTGTTTTTGTTCTGTTGTGTTTTGTAATACCCAAGTACTTTAATGATGGTAGACTCATATCACAGTTTTGCAAATTTTGCTTATAGCCTCATGTGCTTTATCCTGTGTTGCATTGTTTTCAAATGTTCTTGGAAAGAATTAGAGTTGCTTCAGTAGATTTCAGTGATGAAAACTTTTGTTGTATAGGCTACAGTTCTCTTACAGAATAATAAATATATATAATATAAAAAAATACAGAATAGATAAATATATATTGTTTATTATATATATATAAACACAAACTAAGGTCCTATTTAACTGTAGTTAGCAAAGTGAGTATTGGGACACAAAGTGGTAAGCAAGACAGAAATATTCTCTGCCCTCAAAGAGCTTGTAGTCTAACAGAGAAGATAGATAGGCTGTTAGAATACAGCTTGATAAGTGCCATGGTATAGGAAGCCAGGGTATCATAGGAGCATGTAGCAGGTAGCCTAACCCAATGAAGGGGATGCATTTGGGAAGACTTCCTAGGGATAAGATAATGTTGAAGAAAACTGTAGGCCAGGGAAGATGAGAAAAGTATTACAAGCCAAAGACTGAGGCAGAACAGGGTGAATTCAGGGAATTGAAAGATGCTGGAGTATAGAGTATAAAGAAAAAAGTGGATGATCTGATGTTACAAAGAGAGAATGAAGGAGTAGGGAAGAGGAGTGGGGTTGGGGGTGGGGATGGGAGTGTATCTTGAGCAGATTCAAGGAAGTAGAAATTTATCAAAAGTGGAAGATTGATTAATGTGAAACCCATCTGGGTTTATTAACTGGCAGTTGACCCTTATACCTTCCACAGGCACTGGGAAGGAAAAGACTTATCTCCTTGATTGTTTGCATTTCAGGGAGACTGATAACATATCTTTGAGAATACTGTTCTTGGTAATAGAAGATTTACATCTCAAAGGAGTAGAGAATGGATTTATAATTGTGACCTTATTTTAGTAAGTGTCTATGAGGAAGTTCAGGGGATGTCTGTCTCCTTGAAGCATTGTGCTTTCTTAGACAGGCACACCAACCGGGGCTGCAGTCATCCCAACCATACGGCCTTGAGTTGTTAGAAACTGTGATAGCTTTTGTTCATATCTCAGAGTAGAGAAGGTAAAAGGAATCATTTGTGCTGACAGGCTATTGTTTTTATAAGTAATGGTTGAGGTGCAGTCAAAAAGGGGACTCAGAGAAGCCTAACTAGAGTTTGGTCAAGGAAAGTCTTTGTCAATATAGAATAAAATCATCTGATGATGAGATTAATAAATTTATATGTAGGGAGTATTTAAATGAGAGAGCTTATATCAAAAAATGAGATGCCTCACTTTAAAATTTCAAGTGATAGTGTTCTTGGTGACAGCAAGATCCTAGGTATAGTCAGAGAAGTTTCACAGAAATGGAGATGAGAAGGTCAAGGAACAGAATTTGGGAAAGAGTTGTCTATATGAATATTGAAATCCTCATCTAAGATAACAGCAGGATTTGTAGTGGAAGATGAAGCTGATAGAGTGGGGAGAGATTCCCTGGGATGGAGAGTGGTGGCAGAGGTTTGTAGATGCCTATAAGGACACACCGAGATGGTGAAGCTCTAAAGATGCAGATATGGGAGAACCCGTGAACCCTGAGATGTGTGTGGTAGGATGTAGCAGAAAGCTACATGAACCTCCAAATGAAAGGGCTGAAAGGGAATAACATCTAGGTTTCATTTTAAACCAATGAATGAAAGAAATGTTAAGGAGGTTAAAAACACATGTATTTGGGATTTTTCAGAGGAAAGTAGAAGAATTGAATAGAGGAGAATGTTTAGAAATTAGGTCAGAGAAAGGAAACTCAGAAAAGCAAAGGATTTGGTAATACAACAGAGTATTTCAACTTGGACTGTGAGCAAGTACAACAAAAAATGTGGACTTGGTGGACATGGCCAGTCATAGGATGGTAAGTGTAATGTTACATAATATCACTAAAGACTTGGTAGTATAACCTGATCCCTGATGCCCATAAACTCATTCATTCTTCTTAGGGAATTTGTAAATGTTTTATATAATTTATTAAACAATAAACAAATACTAATGCTTTTATTATCTTTTAAAGGAAGACTGTGAACATAGAATTTATTTTTCAATTCCTATAGTACTATTATGGTATAAGTTTTCTTGAGGAAATAATATGACTGTAGCACTTAGTAATTAGCTTTATATTTTACTTAAACATCATTTCCTATTATTATTTTCATCCCCCACCACACTAATTAACTTGATTCCCAAGTATATTATTCTTGGCATTGATAGTTTGTTTCTTTGTTTCTTTTCTTTTTCATTCTTTTTTCCTTTTTCTTTCTTTTAGATAGCTTAATATATTATTTCATGAAGTAAGACTTGAGAAACTAAAATAACATTCTGACAAATTACAAGAATTTTTAAAAAACATTAACAACAACAACAAAAATAAAATATATAAAATAAATGGAGTGACTTATTCTAGCAGGCACCTCAGAATATTCCAGAATTTTTTTTTTTTAAACAGGCTCTTTCTAACTTGTGTAGGAGTTGATATAGAACTGTTGCTATGGTGAAGTGCATTCTATTTTGCAGGGTATAACTTTATATATAGGGATGGTGTTGAAAAAGCAATTACTATGTAAAACTCAATTTAAAATGTTTTATAGGTGCTAATTATAAAATGTACTCTGAAAATAATTTCCTGAAAGTCAAATGATATTGTTGCTTTTGATTGTAATGTAATTTTAAGAAATGGTCTTCTGTACATTTAATTATAAATATGCTTTTCTGGTTTCTGTATTAACTATAGTGCTTTTGAACAAGCCAACTTACCTACTGCTTACTTTTCCTCTCCTGTTTTTTTTTAAAGAAGATTTATTGGGTCTCCCCGGTGGCGCAGAGGTTGAGCGCTGGGCTACGAAGCTGCCCGCAGCCTCTGCAGTGCCGGTTCGATCCCCGGCTGCCGGCGAGGGTCCCACATGGCGCGCAGACCTCTCCTGCCACCTGCTGCTCCCCTCAGCAGTGTGCTCCTTCGTCAGTCTGCCTGCTCTGCTCCCTGCTCTGGCTCTGGTGAATTCTCTCACCCACCCGCGCTTCTGACTATACCCAGCGCTTGTATAAATAAATAAATCTTAAAAAAAAAAAAAAAAAAGAAGATTTATTTATTTTTACAAGAACCGGGGTACAGGCCAGATGTGCGGGAGGGTGAGAGGATTCACCAGAGACAGACCATTGCCCACCCCATCCCACTCTGCAGTTCTCGTTTGTTCTTTAAGCTTTGCCTTGGATGTCACCTCTTAGAGTAAGCCTTCTGTAACCAAAGCTGAGATGGGTACCCCTTCACATACCCAAACACTGTTATTTATTTCCATTTGAGTATTTATCCTATTAAATTATAATTGCTTTGTGTGTGTGTGTGTGTGTGTGTGTTAGTGGACTATAAGCTTGAAGAGAACGGGCAATGTGCCTCTCTGTTTAGTTGTAATCCTAGTATCAGTCATAGTACTTTTGCACATAGTCGGGGCCCAGTCACATTTGTTAGGTTAAGTAAGGATTAGCTATATGCCTTGAGCAATCTTCAAGTCTCACTTAAATATTTTCTCCTCCCCCTAACCCAAAGAATGTTATTTTTTCAGGATATTACAGGGGATTTCACACCTTACAGAATAATTATACTGCAGAATTAGATGGAAAAGTTAGGTTATTTAGTGTAACTACTTCTTCACACTTGTGGGTAAACTAAGGCCCAGAACACAACAAAACAAAAACAGACAATTATAAATCAGAGACATCCTGCAGGGGAGGAGGAGGGAGAGGGATCAGAAGGAGGGAGGGAGGAGCACAGGGGATTGAGGTAATGGTGCACGGGTGCATTGGTGAAGGAAATTCTATGGGGACTACACCTGAGCGGGGGGGGGAGGTAAATATTGTTTAAAAATGAACAGTGATGTAAAAAATAAAAAAAAAAAAAAACAAACTCACATATAAAAACAAGCAAATAAAAAAGTAAGGCCCAGAAAAGGAAATTGACTAGCCAAAGGTTACCTAACTTGCATAGTCTTGAACTATTTCCCAAACATAAACGTATTCTACAGGAAAACAATTCTATACAACCTTTCTCATTTGCAGAACACAGAAAATAATAGTTTGATAGCAAACTAATCCCCCTTCCTCCCCATATTGAGTTTAATGGGAATATAGCAAAGAATGAAATAGAAACTGTGACTTGAAGATTAGGAGGTCAGCATCTTGGCACCCCTCTAACCTGTGAGGCAGGCCAAGGCATATGTGCCCAGACATACTGCATGGGAAATGCCACTGTAACACAGGAATGGATTTGGGGCAACAATTATAATTGGGGTTTTTAGTTTCTTGTTTTTTAATATGTGTTTTTTTATTTTTAAGATTTATTTATTTATACAAGCACTGGGTACAGTCAGAAGCACGGGAGGGTGAGAGACTTCACTGGAGCCAAAGGGAAGAGCAGAGCAGAACAGGCAGACTGACGAAGT